CTTACAGCGTGGAGCTACAAACACAGACGATAACTCTGATGCTTAATACATGTTAGGAGTGCTTTCAGTGAAAAGAGCATATGGAGTTCATTTCTCCCTTGGAACTCACATGTTTAAGGAACGTTTTTGTTAAGGCTCTCCAAACAAGAGGAAACCGAACAGAAAGCTCATAATCAAATGACTGTGTGAATGATGTTTTTCCCCATTGTTTTTTTTTCCTAGAATTCATCCACATTTCACCACCATGCCTCTTTCCTCACAACCAATGCAAGCACCAGCCCTGCATGTTATCATCAAAGAACACAAAGCAAAGACTCAGATGGACAACTTCTAAAATATACGCCAGCTGCATGTCTGAGGTTATGAAAGGCAGTATCACTACTCAACGTGCTGGGTATTGCTAGGTGGTCACTCCATGAAGGACTAAGTTAATTGTTTCTAAATTAACAAGACTGCAGCCAAACTTGTGCGTGTGACTTTTTCTTGAGTGCAATGAGGTTGCAGATTCAATCTGAACATTCATACTTCAGTATTGAAGCGTTCTGCACACTCACAAGAAAAGAGTAAAAGTGAAAATGAGAGCAAAAAGAGGTGAGTTGGTGTGAAGAATAAATAGAAGATGAAAAGCCATAAAACACTACACGCACAAGTACTGAAATAAACCTGATACAATTACTATGGAGAACTCCTGGGCCTGAACTGGATGGTTGGTCACCTGAGATGACCATGACAGCCTCTTTCAACCTTGACAATATTTTTATTCATAAGTTTGTTCAGTAAAAGAAAGTTCAAATTCCAAAATAATTCTGTTTCTTGATCATCTATGGAGACACTTCAGGCTAGCAGGTACTTTGTTAGAAGTAAACAAACAACTAAGCCAGTGGTGTTTCTTTAAGGCAGAGCTGCAAGCAGCCTTCCAGCACATTTGACAGACATTTCCAACACCGAGAAATAGAATTTGAATTTGTAGAGGCAATTACTCACAACCAGCAAAGGCAGCCAATGCAAGGGCCAGCCTTGCCAACAGGATAAAGCTAGTATTAAGAGGAGGCTGCTAATTGTTTCAGGGCAGTTTGAACACCTCTGTCCAGAAGGACAGCAAAGTACTTTCTCCATGCCCTGGTACTACAGCTCACACTGATGTGAGGAATTACAACATCCATATTCCAAAGGTATAAAAGCATTCATGTATTTGTATAACGGAGATATTTGCTAGCAGACTATAAAAGCTGTTTCCAGTCTTCCCCATCAGATGCACTTAAGTTCATTTTGCACAGGAAGCAAGACATGCTTGTGCCAGACCCCACAATTAATATAACTGCTGTCTAGTCAGCTCCAAAGTCATCCAACTGGACCGCTGCTGCACGAAATTCCTGTCCAACTAAACAAACACCTTCAGACAATTCCCAAGGATCCATCTCTCATCTCTTTCCTTTACAAGATGGAAAGGAAGGCGGAGAGATGAGACATTCTCTAGTAAAGGAGTCAAAATCAAAACCGGACGACAACACCACCATGCTGAGGGCTGATCCCAAATGACTCAGTCAGCTAAGGGCAGCATCAGCAGGGGATGTTCATCTCTAAGAGCAAGCTGCAGGTCAGAAAAGGACTCTTGGAAAATATCTACAATATAAATAGATGAATAGCAAAAAAAACCCACTAAGCTACAGGTGCCGAGCTCGTAAGTGCACTGTCCCACACTATAACACCAGCAAAGAAAATCACAACACAGAACAAAACCAACAGGTCCAAAATGCTGGTCCCCAGAGAGATCACACACTGCGAGCAACACGCAACATCCTTCAATTTCAGCATCAACGACTCACTCCTCATTTGGGCAGCAGCGCGAGCCACTTCTTACCATTTTTTGGTGCACTCCACCATCAACTCCTGGTAAGAGGCCACAAACTGGAACTTGGATGCATGTTTCCCAACACGCTGCAGTCTTTTCCAAACTGAAGCCATGACGGCGAGAAACACCAGTCCTGTGGCACAGTCGCAGGAACACCAAAGTAGGCGTAAGAGCGTGCGTGCTCAATGCTAGCAGGTTTATATACAGATGCGGGAAAAACAACGCACAAGAAGCTCGAGAGGATGTCTACAACTCATATTCCACCTCTCCTTTCTTCACGGTAGAAAATCCCAGCGCAGCTGAACGGCTCATCACTGTCCAGGAGCAGCATGCAATGGGGGCTGCAGAGCGAGAGAAAGATGCGAGGAAGTTCTCTCATGGAGCCATCGTCATTCCTCACACAGCGGATGGCGTGGAGACTGCAGGACCGGGAGACAAAAAGGCCGGGGAGGAGGCAGGTTAGCAGGCAGGTTACAAGGCAGCGCTGCCATCGCTCCCGGCACGGAACCCTCCGCACGAGGACCACAAACCACACCACGTTTGCATCGACGGACCCCATCCCGTCACCCCGAATAAATGCATATATTTATACCGCTGCAGCAATTTCAGGAACGCAAACCGCGAGCCCGTTCGGAGGCGTATCAACGCGTCCTTTTAGCGGCACCGCCACCGCCGGCAGCAGCGAGCGGAGGGGCCCGGCGGCACCCCGGGAAGCGAGGCGGGACGCGGGGAGCCGCCTTCTTTGTCTCCGCGCCGATGACAAAAGGTGTAGCGGTCGTGCCCCATCGTCGCACCCTCAAGGCGGAAGGCGCGGGCAGGAGGGGAGCGCTAAGCTCAACCGCCCGGCTTGGGGAACGATGAGGGCGGCCCCGGCCACTCCGCCGTCCGCGGGTGGCCCTCCGTCCCGGCCGAGGGAGGCTGCGGCCGGGAGGCGCGGCGGCGCGGAGCGCTGCACCTGGCGGCGGCGTTCACCTGCGGCCCGTCGGAGCCCCTCTTCCCCGCCGCGCCCTGCCGGCCGCTGTCAGCCCCGCGCCCCCCGCAGCCGTTCGCCGACAGCCGTTGGATTTAAAAATTAAAACGCCGCCGGCAAGGAGCGCACGCGGGGCGGCGGGGAGCGGGCGGGGAAGGCGCGGGGCGCGGCGCTCACCTGCAGCCGCTCCTCACGGCGCTCCCCGGGCCGGGCGCCGGCACCGCGCGGCGAGCCGAGAGGCGGCCCCGCCGCTGCCCATCGCCGCTGCGGAGCCCCGCGGCCGTCCCCGACTTCCGACTTCCCGCGGCGAGTGCCGGGGTGCGCGTCGCCTCCGGCCGCCTCGCGCCCCGCCGGCCGGGCAGCCCGCGCGGGTCCCGCCGCGCCTCACGCCGTCACCATCGCCCTCCCGTCGGCGCCGCGCCGCGTCTCGCCTCGGCCCGGCCCGGCCCGCCGCCCTTCGGCCGGGCGCGGCCCGCCCCCACCGTCCATTGGCTGAGCCGCGCGCTCCGCGCGAACCATTGGCCGCCGCTCCGCGTCGATCACCTGCGGGCCGGAGGGGCGATCCTCGCGCAACGGGGAGAGCGAAGCTGTGAGGGGAGACGGTGCTCGCGAGCCTGCTCTCCTGAGCTCCCCCTCCCGTCAATCTCTTTCCCATTGGCTTCGGTGCCCGAGGAGGAGGGGTCGCGAGGTAGGGAAGGCCATTCATAGGCGAGCTCGGCCGCCCGTCAGCGCGAGAACGCGCGGCGATTGGCGGAGGCGCTTCCTAAAGCAGCCAGGTGGGCGCGGCGGGAGCGGCGGGCTGTCACGGAGGGGGCGTGGCGGCGCGCCGGCGGGCTGCGGCACCCACGGGCCGGGCCGTCCCGTCAGGCGTGCGCTCCTGGCAGGCGTGGCCGCCGCTCTGCTCTCCTCGCACCTCGGCGGCTTTGTACACGAGTGCAAGATTTCCTGCCCGGTTCCTCACGCAGAGTAATTCCAGCATGCTAAACGCTGACGTGACTTTTTTTTTTTTTAAATGTCGAGCAGCTGCTCAGGATTTAGGAAACGAGGCCAGGCGCGCAGTGCCTCCAGGTTATTTTCCTCCATCCCAGCGAAGGCTGCTGGTTGCCCGGTGACTCGTGTTTCTGCCCTCATTATTTATTAACGTGTCCATTTCAGCTTCAAATTAACGCCAGGCTGCAGAAGCACACAGCGAACGGCGGTGCTGCCTGCCCTGTTGCAAGCAGGAAAATAGCACTATGACGAATAGGTAGATGCTTTTTTATTAATCAAAGGTACGTCGTATCCACAGTGAGATCTCTGTGAACAATATTCCTGTCAAAACTGTTCTTTGCCTGAAGAAAGCTGTGGAGGTGCATGCGTGTGTCTGTGTGTGTTTGTGTGTGTCAGTGCCTGCCCTCCTCACCGTCACCTGGAAATGGCACAGCGTGGGCTGCTGAGTGCTGCTCAGGCTGGGATGCTGCTGGGGTGATCAGGGAGTCCCCAGAGCAGCCTGACCTGGTTCTTACAAGCACCAAGGACACTCTTGCTATCCAAAAATACACGCTCGTGCTCTGTGGTTCCCTTTTCCTTTCCTTCTGCTTACACTACAATATCCAGCCTCCTTCACAAACTCTACAAAAATCCCCTTTGTTACTTTCCCCACAATTTTGATTCTCATTCCCTGACTTCGTCCTGATGGTGGAAGGTTTTAAGCCTCCTGGTCCACGTAGAAAGATTAGCTATGCTCTGCATACGTTATTCCTTGTTAATCTCTGAAGCTGTGCAGCCTCTCCCTCCTCCTTCATCACCTCTTCATCACAATGACTAAGGACAGGTTGTTCACCAGGAAAGAAATGACCTTTGCTAGAAATAGCTATCATTATAAATCTGTGTCCCCGTCCTTCTGTACATGAGCCTGCAGAAATGTCACCGAGGAAATTGACTAATTGGATTATATCAAATTTGCAAGAGCATTCAGCTTTCTGATGCAATGGGCTGTGCCTTCACCTGCTACATCTTAAACTTCCTTATCTTTCTGGATCCCTTCAGAAGTTTGATCCCACCTTAACAAAGGTAGTGGACAATTTGTACAGACTTCCCCAGATCTGAGCAAAGCACCATCCCGATCCTCAGTGTGTTGTTGCTGACTGATTTGCAGTGCCTTAAAATTCAGTTCTGCAATACGTGATGCTCACTGGGTTCTGTTGAAGCGTAGGAGCCTGATGGCTCTTTGCTTTGTTTCACCACAACACAAAATGTATGCAGCAATGGAACCAGTTTTTTAATCCTCTCTTCTTCCTTTGTTTCTTATTTTTTTGCTGGAACAACTCCACTGAGCTGTCTTTTCACACCAGCTGATGACACCAATGGCCATTCTGTATCGGAAGGAAAAATGTTTTGAAGGTTCCCTCTGCTAACTTAAAACTTTTTTTAGGGGAGGCGAAGGTGGAATACTCCATTTTCTCTGTGCAAAGAAAGCTTGACTTTGAAAGTGGCACCTGAGAAAAGGTGACTCCCTCATGGCAGAACTAGTCCTGTTGCTATCATAGCCTATAGTGAAAGTATAAGACTTAAGCAACATGTTCTGTGTTGCTCTTGAGGAAGTAGCACTAAGGATAAAAATATCACAATTTGGATTTTGCCTTACCAGCAAAAAGACAGGATGGACTGTTGGACTTGTTAACACTCTGGCATGGACAGAGGCCAACAGGCCAGCCTGATACTCACCTCCTGATCTGCTGACCTGTGTAATGTTTCTCTTGCTTGAGTTCAGCCCACAGCTGCTATGTGGTGAGACCCTGCTGTGTTCTGGCCAGAAGGAGTGCCCCAAAATCCCATTCCCTGGGTGGCGGCTTCATGTCACAGCCTTTGCAAATGGCTTCACTGCACCATCCCAGAGGTTCTCCTGCCCAGCCCGAGGTTCTGTAGGTAAAGCCAAGAGTGTTTCTGCAAGGGAGGAGGAAAAACATCCTCACCTGTAATTCCTTTATCCCACCTCAATCTGGCTGAAATTCTTCCTAAACCACTCAGCAGTAAGGGAGACGACGTATTTATCTACAGATGAGGTCAAGGACAGGAGTCACATTCCTGGAATGCAGAAGCCACGTTGCAGCAGCTCAGCCCTTGGAGCCAAGATGAAAGATGGGGTGTTGATGGTGGAGACCCACACACTGCAGACAGCACTGCCTTATTCTGCCACACAAAATACTGGGTTAGAACTGATTTCTTCAAGGAACATTCCCCAGTATTATTTCCAGTCAGTCGTGTTGGCTGGCTTGCAAATGGTCTGAACAAGTTAACGAGTTTTGTCATCCAGCTGTTGGTATCCTTTAGGATTGTGCCCTCATTTGTGGCCTCAGTTTCTTCCTTAAAAAAAAAAAAAAAAAAAAGAAAAGAGAGAGAGAGAGAAAGAGAGGAAGAAAGGAAGAAAGGGAAATGAGAAAAAAAAAAAAGCAGCCTGTGCTTTGTCCATAAATAGCAGCTTTCGATCTTTTCATCATGCTCTTGTACCTTTTCCAGTTCTTCAATATCTTCCTGTGTGGTCTCCCTTGCCTTTTTGAAAGCAAAATTATGCTTGTTTAGGACATCCTGCAGCATTAATGAGATTAAGAGTTTCTTTGTTTGTTGTCTTCTTTTTGGTTTGTTTTTACATAAATACTACATTTCTTACCAAATAATTCTGCTGTTGATTTAATTTAAGATGCCCTTCAGGAATACTGACCTTGATTTTCCAAAACTGTTTGCTTTTTCCTCGTTGTAATAACTTCTCTTTGTCTTCTCTGAAATTCTTTTCACCTTTGAGCCTTCTTTTTTAACATATACTTTATTCATAACCTAATTGCTTCTCACACAGCCTGTCAACAGCACTCTGCAAAGACAGCTGAAAGGGAGAAGGCCTTGTCTAAAGGCAAGTGATAGACAAGATAAGCAAGGATTTGCAAAAAAATATTTCAGATGGGTATGGCAGCACAAGTGAGAAAGTGAGAGTCCTCCACAAAAGCAGAATCTGAACAAAGAAAGACCCTTTTCCAAAAGCACTAGCAGAAAATCTGAGATGAAGCAAGTTCAACTGCAGATGGAGGTTTGTAGAGGCACCTAAAGAAACTGCCAGTGCGGCGATGGAGGGGTCGAGGAGTTACAGTTGTGGAGCCCATGCCTTTTTTTTTTAATCTGAGATCCTGATTATTAGAAACCGAGTAGTTGGACACGCAATCAGAATACCATACTGGAAAAGAATTTAAGCCTTTTAACTGTATTTCAATAACTCTGCATAAATACCAGAGAAATCATAAAAATGTAATACAGCTGTCTCCAAAGATTGTGCAGGAAATTCCTCTTTGTCCAAATACAATATCGTATGTCGCCTTTAAAGAGAACGCCTAGTTAACTTTGGATCTACACCATCAGTCATCCACACAGCCTGCTAGGAACAGAGGCATGCTGCCTTGCAGTGGGGGAATTAAGCAGGCACAGGCCAGCACAGAACACGTCCAAGGAAATCCTCACCAGGATCCAAACCAGGGGCATGATGGTCCCCCTGTACTCAGCTCTGCTGAGACCACACCTTGAGAGCTGTGTTCAGTGTTGGGCTCCTCACTACAAGAAAGACATTAAAGGCCATGGAATGTGGCCAGAGAAGGGCAACAGAGCTATGATGGGTCTGGAGCACAAGCATGATGGGGACCAGCTGAGGGAACTGGGATTGTTCAGTCTGGGGAAGGGGAGACCTTATTGCACTCTTACAACTGTCTGAAAGGAGAGTCAGATAGGAGTGATAGAGATGATGGCCTCAAGTGGCACCAGAGAAGATTCAGGTTGGGTGTCAGGAAGCATTTCTTCTTCAAAAGAGCAGTGAGGCAGTGGCACAGGCTGCCCAGGGAGGTGGAGTCACCATCCCTGGAGGTGCTCAAGAACCGTGGAGAGGTGACACAGAAGACGTGGGTTAATGGGCAACATTGGTGGCAGGAAAGCAGATGGACATGATGATCTGAGAGGCTTTTTCCAACCTTAATGATTCTATGAGTTCTTGCAGATGTGACAAGACTATCTATTATGCAAACCTAGGCTCCTACTAGATGAAGGAAATTTGTAACACCAGAATCCCGAACATCATACAACAAGACATTAGGGCCTAATGCAAACAGTGACATGGCTTAGCCCTGCAGAGGGTTTATGATTAGCAAAGTTGTAGTTAATGAAAATGAAACCATGAACCTAGTCTATGCAAGGACACACAAATGGACAAGCATTTGCAGGCATTAGTCCTGGTGTTGGAGACACCACAGGGAAAACCTGTCTTTTTTGAACTGTATCCAGTCCTGGGCTCCCCTACTCAAAAAAGACAGGGGTCTCCTAGGAGTGCAGCAGAGAGCCATAAAGATGATACAGGGCCTGGAGCATCTCCTTTATGAGAAAAGGCTGAGAGATCTGAGGCTGCTCAGCCTGGGGAAAAGATGACTGAGGAGAGATGTGATTCGTGTTTATGAATACCTAAAGGGAGGTGGGAGGCAAGTGGACAAGGCCAGGCTCTTCTCAGTGGAATGTAGTGACAGAACAAGGAGTCACATCCTAGAACTTGAACACTTGAAGTTCCATACTAATACGCAGAATAACTTCTTTACAGTAAGGGTGACGGGGCACTGGTAAAGGCTGACCAGAGAGGTTGTGGAGTCTCTATCTATGGAGATATTCAAGACCAAGCTAGATGCTGACCTGTGTGATCTATTGAAGAGAACCTGCTTTAGCAGGGGGTTGGACTTGATGACCTTGAAGGTCTTTTCCAACCTGAGCAATTCTGTGATTCTGTGTTGTAAAACTGATTGTAAAATTGCCTGCTCCCATTTTTACAATCTCAGCCATATCCAAACTATGTAATTCAGGTTCAGAAACTGCACTTCATTATGTCCAAATCAATCCACATGTATTTAATAGCGTTGCAAATTATTTCAACTGAGTGTATTACTTTGAGTCTTTGTTAATCTCCTTGTACACTTCTAACGCTGTGTGCATTGAAGTCACAATACGCAAATGTCGACTAACGCCTGCAGTGCTCTCTGCTTACACAGAGAGCTGATCTCCAAAGCACAGAATGGGCCTTCAGCCCTTCCAACCTGGCACTAATCATAAAATTGTTTGAAGGGACCCTTTATCTAGTCCAACACCCCAGCAATGAACAGACACCTACAGCTTGATCAGATTGCTCAGAGCCCCGTCCAGCCTGACCTTGGATATCTCCAAGATGAGTTAAGAAGTGACTGGTCCAATGCATAGTTAGGAAGAAACAAGTCGGAGCTCACAAAAGATGGGCTGCAGGGCTCATTCTGCCAGATCATGGCAGTGTTTGGCTGGTGGGGGACAAACAGCCTTACCCACCATTTGCCCCTGTGGGAGACTGCTCAGTGAGTCCCGGCTGAAGGAGGAGGTTGAGCTAGTCAGCTGTTTTTCCTCCTCAGTCTGCGAAGGGACATTCAGATTTCTTTCTCTGAATAGTTTTGGGAATCTTATATGCCCGGGAGGAATGAATGCTTTTACAACACCATAGAGCTACAATTAAAAAACAAACTTGAACAGTCACCACAGGTATACTTCCCTTCCATCACTACCCAGCGCTCTGGAGCTCAGCAAGGACATACACAACAACAGCAAAAGGCTGGTGAGGGCATCTCAGCCTTTCTTCCTGATAAAATATCCTGTATCATCCAAATAAGCCAATCTGTCTGTTTAGGAGAACAACAGATAAATTGGACGTCTCGCAAAGCCCAAGAAAAATAACACCTCAGTGCTGTTGAAAAGAAAGCTATCAGAGATTAATTTGTCTGATGATCTGTCTTTATGCTGAAGAAGAACAAGAGCCCTTTCATGCATGTTGAATTTACCTGTAGTGTGTATCAGCTTCTGTCAGCAAAGCTCTAAGCACTGCTGGTTTAGGGCATTGGATGATGGCTGCTGCCTGGCACCTGCCTTCAGCACAGCGCTTTTGCATCCCAAAGCTGAGCTGGCAAGGCTGTGGCTCCACCAGGCAGAGGCAGAACCCAGCTCTTGCTGAAGGGGCCTAGAAGGGCTGGGAGAGGAGGAGCTGCTGGAAGAGGCCATCCCATGTTCTCTGGTATGCAGAAGGAGTGGTGGTGCCAACCAGGCACAGGAACAACATGGTGCAGAGAAGCAGTTTGACACGAGCTCCAAAAGTCATGTCCATTCCCAGCTCTGCCGAAGGTTATCTTACACAACCTCTTAGTCAGCTCTGCAACAAAAGAGTACTGATGATCACCTACCTTTAAATGTAGGGTTTACATTCTCACACACTTCGTGGTGGGCCAAGACATGCTACAATCAATTAGAAGGGTAAGACTTGTATTCTAGTTTTTGTGATTTGAAATGCACTTGCCTTCCAGCAGACCAAAATCATTTTGTTGGGAAAGGAATGATTGCAAAATAAATTCTGCTGCACATTTGTATGGGATACACTGTATGGGATCCCATGACCAGGAGCTGAGTGGATTTCTTCAGGACAGTGAAGAGCATTTCTTCCTCTACAGGATTTTCTTGTGTCAGACTTCTCATTGAGAGGGGAAACAGCAAAGATGATGGGATGGCGCAACTTACAGTCATGTGCTCCTGTTGCTTATTTAAAGCATTGCTGAAGTTACTTATTTTTCCTACCATCAATCTTGGAAGAGTTGAAGAAGCAAATCTTCCCACCCAAAAGATCAACCTGAAACAGTCACAAAAACAGGCATGAAAAGCCTGGCTAAATTAGAATCATAGAATGGCCTGGGTTGAAAAGGACCACAGTGACCACCTAGTTTCAATCCCCTGCTGTGTGCAGGGTCACCAACCAGCAGACCAGGCTGCCCAGAGCCACATCCAGCCTGGCCTTTGATGCCTCCAGGGATGGGGCATCCACAGCCTCCTTGGGCAGCCTGTTCCATTGCATCACCACCCTCTGTGTGAAAAACTTCCTGCTAATATCTAACCTAAACCTCCCCTGTCCCAGTTTAAAGCCATTCCCCCTAGAATTGTTTGGTTAGAAGGAACCAAATGAAGAAGCTGTAGCTTGTGGCAACATTACTAACTGTAGATGGACTTCTGTTTGCTAGACCCACTACATCAGTTAATGTTGACCTCGTTTGCTGCGAAGTCATGATGCATTTCTCAGTGCACTGCAGAATCACCTCAGTGAGACCAAAATAAAACCCACAGAAAGGTTTTATATAACATTGAGGCTACAGGATCTCTAATGTAGTTTTCTTATTGGAGCAAGAGCCAAGAACAACTTAAATTCATTAGCTAATGGCCTGTGACAATGAAGAACAAAGACAATTATTATTCCTATCTCCCAGCTGATCATTTCTGTTTGAAGAAAACGCAACAAATTATTGTTCTCCCATATTAATGCATCATAACGGATTAATATCATATTGAGAAAAACCTATTTCTTTCAAAATGCAGACTAATGCTGGATAAATTTGATTTTTATAGATGAAAGCTTGGTAGAAAAATCGAGATTTTATTAGAGCCATGGACAATCATATTACTTTTCGTATGATAGGAAGACTTCAGTATTGAATCAGGAAATTGATATCAAGAATTTTTTTCTCCTAAAGACTTATCAATTTCCTGAGCATCTCTCATTGCATCTCAAATTCTTATCCTTGGATATTATAGCCACTGTATCTTAATGACTATTTTTATTTATAGGATAACCTGGAGAAAAAAAATACAATATGGAGTCTTGAGGGGAAGTGAAAGCCTCCTTCCTCCCTCAGTATCAGTTGTTGATCCAATTATTTTCACTTGAGAAGGAAGTCAGAGTGGTTGCACATTTGGAACGATAAATGTCATTACTTCACTTCTGCATCATTTACAAAACCTCACTTTCCACGAGTTTTTTGTTTAGGAAAATGTGATATGGTTAAAGAGCCTGAAGATTCTGAGTCTGTTTCCGAAATGCAGAAAAAAAAGCAATATCTTAACATAGAAAGGAAAAATCAACTCCTCAGTTTCAGCAGAACATACACTACATCACACTCCTTGCAGTTTTTAAGGCCCACAGGTAAAGCAGTGAGGAAATGGCACGTCACCCAAGTCTGCCAAGAGCTGTAAATTCAGACTAAGCAGGACCCAGCTGGATCCACCAGGGCCCTTTCCTGGGCTTGTGCACATGCACAAGGAGCTGGCAGCTCTAAAGCACTGCTAAGCCTCCCCAAGGCTGCTAACTCTAGCTCCATGAGCCAGGCTAGTCCTTGTCACACAGTAAGAGAAACCCACCAACATGCTCAGTTGCCCAGCATCTACTGCAACTAGCAGCTGTGGCTTTCTCTAATTTTCAATGTCACTTAAGGTTTTCTGAAGGTTTATGTGCTCCAAGACCACACTGCCTCTTACCAGCAGGATGCTAGATAACTACTGTCAGCAGACACTTCTCCCAGCACCAAAGCATACGATCCACAACTCTTTGTAGTATCAAGCAATCTTACAAGGAAGCCCATAACTCCTGGTTTTATGGACAGTATTTTATGGAATTGCACACTGTAGGAAACACCTGCCTGTTGTTCCTGGAGACCACATGGAAGTACCCAGAAACTCACCTGGAGCTGCAGCCCATACTTCATACTTCAATTGCTCCTAGTTACCATCTGTGGATGTTCAGACTTCTGCATTACTCTGGTGGTAGTGGGTCGTTCTTTTGGGGCTTGACAAACCCCAGACTCATCCTCTAGTGATATATGCTGGCCACAAAGCCTCAGTTAGAAACCCAGCTTTCATCCTTCCTGAAGCAAAAGCAGCTGGGGATAAGTTTTGGTGTCCCAGCATGGCGTAGGTATGAAATTACAACTTGTCCCAAGGATGCTCCCCCCATTCCACAAAACAGCCTTTGCACACCTTCTCTTTGCAGCTGACCTTTGCAGTGTAAGCCACTGAGACTTAATAAAATGCATAACGTGGACTACGTACACGGAGTGTTACAGATTATGAAATTCAGTGCCATGTTTTAGAAGTCATAAAAACATTATTTAATTCCCAGTAACTCCCCTCCTCCCCCTTCCCCCAAGAGACTTTAGAATATGTTTATGCACTAAAGCGCCAAAATGATAAAAGGCGCTGATTTTGTGCTATTTGCATTGTGGTGAGCTAGTTATTACATGGCATTTCATAGATACAGGGAGTCAGAAATAATTAGTATGCTGAATAACAAGCTTTCCTCTACAATGCAGTGCAGTACATTTTAAATCACCCATTTTCAGGAAGCACTTGCACAGCCTGGCTCGAACACAACAAATAAAAGGGGACTCTTTGCGGGGAAAAAAAAAAGCTGCTGTTGGGTTTTGTTCTGCTTTCTTTCCCTTTAAAGGGTGGTGTATTGATATCAACAGCCCCATGGCCGCAGGGACAAGCAGCAGGAGCTGCGCCTTTCCCAAGTGGCAGGGACAAAAGCAGCAGCATGTCTTGCTGTTACAGCACGAGGGACACGTTCCAAGAGAGCATCACGTTCGTGAGATTAAAACTAATGCAAACACCAAGCAAAATCCTCCTTTGAAGGAAGGAGATGATTTTAAACTGCTTGTAATTAAGGGAGAAGCAGCAGTGTGCACAGCTCTGCGCCAGCCAAGGAGTTCTCCACATTTTTGCTGCTCGGCTTGTAGTACTTTTTTTTTTTTTTTCCTTTTGTAAAAACACAGAGTGGATTTTATTGCCTTTTTTGGATATTAATATGCAATCAATTATAAATTGTGAGCTGCGGCACTGGGTAATTTCTCTGCAAGAATGCCAAGCAGGTTCTGTGCTGGATCAGCCCTTGTGACAGCACAGCAACTAGCAGCGCCTGAGCCATGTTTTAGAAGCAAGCTGTGCGCAGAGGCTCAGCAGGGAAGCTGGAGCAAACCCCATCTCAAGGCCAGCTTGTGATGCTGAATGTTACCCTGCCAAATGTTCTTTTTGGAAAGAAAAAGAAAACTTAGCTCACATTCTCAGGAGTAGTGAATCAGGATAAGAATAGGAAACGGCAGTATCAGCTGTCCACATGTGCATCAGAGGTGCTTGCCTCAATTTGCTCCCCTGCCATCTGCTGTTGTGCCGGCACCACAATCAGGGCTCCTTCTTGCTGCTCACCAAAGGAGAGAAAAGGACAATTTTTAAATGCAAGGTTAAAAAAGAAAAAGGGAAGGCAACGTGAGCTTTTGTGTCAGTGGTTTGTGTCTAAGACAGAGCACTGTCTCTACGACTGTGTTGCACTAGCCATCAACATAGCAGATTGTAGGGGATTGTAGGGGAGCTCGATGGCACAGAAGTAGCCTCTTCCCTGATGTTTCTGCTACAAGAAAGTATTTCCAAAAGAACTACTCTCACCTTGAGAAAAAACACAGTTATCAGTAATTGTTCACATTAATCTACGAAAGCCTTAATGACTAGTGGGGCCAAAACAAAGCTGGAAGTAGGTGGCTGTGTCCCCTCCAAGCCCAAGCAGCAAGCACAACAACTGAATTTGGCATGGGTACCAAACCTGTAAAAATACAACCCAAAGGAGCAGCTAAGAATGCAGGTGTGCAGAAAGTATCAATGTTTATGTCTGCTTTCCATCTCTTTGCTGTTAAAAATCCCCTTGGCTATGTGAAAGAATGTTTTCCTACACTGCAAAAGAAAAGTGCAAGCCAAGACCAGGCTCTACTTTCTTAACATTAATCATAGGACTCAGCCTTGGTGGGTGTCATAATTTGGTTTTGGTAACCTAATACATAATAAGAACCCTACACAGTAACACCAGCTCAGAAAGAAACACTGAGCTGAGGCCACAGCTGTGATACCCAATTGCCTTCGCCTAGATACTGCAGTCAGCATGCATAGTCCTTAATAGGGAGTTTCAAAACAGCCTCCAACATTTGTAGTCGTAGAGCTCAACCTGTTTGCTGCAGTGTCAGGAGATTTGAGGACACTCCAGTCACCTTGCTTCAGCACCGCCCCAGGCTTTCAGCAGAGCTCCCTCTCCTCTCAACACCTACATTCACCTGCCAATTAACAGCTCATAAAAAGAACTTCCAAAAGTGTCTGCAGTTTGTCAAAGTCTGCATTTGATGATAAATACTTAAAAGATCAAATGTCTAAATTATCTCCTAGTCCTTGTGTTTTTGTTTTTGTTTTTTTTTTTCTTTCCTTTTCATCCTTTACTATCCCTTAATTTATCAGAGGTCTTAGCCAGTGCAAATGAACTACCCACACACACTGCTATGTGTGACAGCACAATCCATCTAGGAAAATTAATTCAGGAGCAGTGATTTTCTTATGCCTTTTACTTTCTCAGGGTCCAGGAGTTCTTACAGAGCTTGCTAAGGAACCATTTTGATTGGCCTGTTTGTGTGAAAATAACCCACGTTTCCTTGGCATGTCAAGAATACAACATGCCAGCAATAACTTGCATACTTTTGAAGGCCTTTCTGCTTGTGAAAGACTAGCATGCTACTAGCTGTATCAAGAGGTCTAAAACATGCTTGTGGGACTTGAAAAAGGCCTTTCCAATGGTGGATGTAAGTTAATTTGCAAGGCTAACTCATTAAATTAGCAGAACTGCTGCATCTCTGAAGGAGTAATGGCCATCTTATGCAACAGATGAAATGTGCTCATCTAAAAAGGAAACCTCACATTGCTTAGCTAATAATGAAATAACAGACCATCACAAACTCTTTCCAGACTACTCTTATTTGGATGTGCTCCACGTCCTTTTCCAAGCCAGCATAAGCTTCTGGGTTATCCTATCTCCTTTCATATTTCTACATTTACAGTTTGATCCTGGCCTGGATAGGTAGGCAGAAGCAAGCTGAGAGGAACAGCATTACCTTCACAACCTGTGGCAATACGTATTGGAAAAGAGCATCCCATCCATCTGAAGGATTGCCATGTCCATAGGGTTTCATGCAGCCCTGTTTAGTTTGTAGCTTCTTTAGATCACTGTGATTTAGATCACTTTAGATTTAAGGTCACTTAAACTTGTAACATTTCCCTTTTTACTGCTATTGTAAATAGTTATTGCAGGAATAGGGAACTTTTTTTTTTTTAAACATGGAATTGATCTTATGAGCAGCCTCCTTCAATGTGTTAAATTGAAGGTAATTATACAGCATCCAATAGGAGGACTGTGTCAGAATCTCGAGATCTCAGACACTGCACGGTCCCTTGCATTTACATGTCCTTCACTGCAAAGGAACAGCAGCACTTGGTAGAAGTGTTTGCTAATGGCGTGAGTAGAACTAATGGCATCTGAAAGATGAACAGCCACCCAACTCCCAGCAAGGAAGCTTTCTGCTCTGCCCCCCTGAGAGCACACCGACAGAGCTAGCTTCCTGCCCTGACACCAGCACAGACTGCTGACCTGTGGCTGAGCAGCAGCTCATGTCTGGGGAAGGACCGGTTGTGCTAACCCACCAGACCTGCAGTTGGTAACAGCAAGTAACATGCTGCCGAGGGGACCATTCACAGGTTCCTTCATTCACTACACATGGACAAGATGATATCTGTTCAATCATCCTCAGTTGGCATTTACCAGGTCAGCCTCCTTTACCTAGGTGTGTTTCCCTTCTTCTCCCCCCAGAGCAGAGGAGCCGAGGGGAGGCCTGATGGCAGCTACAGCTCCTCACAGGGAGCGGAGGGCAGCGCTGAGCTCTGCTCTGTGTGACAGCGACAGCATGGAGCTGTGTCAGGGGAGGTTCCCTCTGACTCAGGATATTCTCTGATTCTTCTCTCAACTCAACATAAGAAATGACAGAAACTCTCAGCCACTTCTTTTATAGACATTAGATTAATTTTTCATTCCTGGGCCAGCTACCAGCCCAGCAGTTGCAACCAAACATCTGCCTGGGGCAACAATGCAGCCCTACCTTAGCAGGGCTGAAAGCCCACCAGAGGACAGCAGTGGCTCTCCATGAGGAGCCCCTGAATATCAGAACACCTGCATGGCAGCAAACATCCTGGCCAGATCCCACCTCCAGCCATGAGCTGCATAGGACCTGGCTGCTTGGCCGCATGCTTCAACCCTCTCTGCAGAGCAGAAATCTGCACCAGTACTGCTGCCCAGACATCTCAGAGCACAGAGGCAGGAATGGTATTTGCTGTTACACCTACTTATGTCTCTGTGCTGGGCAAAAAACTAGCCCTTCTGGCTCATCTAGTCTTTACCCAAAGATCTAGAGTTCAATTACATCCTTAGCACATCTGGTTTTAGCAGTGCAAGCTGAATACTCCAGAAACCACAGAGCAAAGGTGTTTGAGTTAAGAATGTGCTTGCGATTTAAAAAAAAAAAGTACAACAGTTTTCAAGTGTTTGTTTAGAGAAAATAATTTTCATTTAAATGCTGGCACAATTTCAACAATTTGAGCTTAATTTTGAAGCGTTGAAAATGCCTTCAGATAATTTCTGTACATTCCAGACCCCAAAAGTTATCATAGGAAGTAAGTCACCTAAGAAATCAGCTAACAGCATAGCTGAAACTCATTTCCTGTTTTCTAAGAAAACAAAAAAGGGCTCCATGCTTTTAAATCTTTCTGAGAAAGATCTTCTCGTGAATAGTTTAAACTAGGCAAGTGGGTTTGACTTTCTCCTGCCCAAAAACAATGTTCTCTCCTTGAAAATGCCTCCAAAGCTTTCACATGCCATATTGGTTCCAGTTGTACTTTGGTACTGTTACAGTTGGTGTTACAGCTGGAAAGATAATTGTGATGAAAACCAAGCAAAATTGGGTCCTCAGCTCAGCTCAGACAAGTTTGCAGATCCCAACCAGACAGATCACAGAAGGGCTCTTACACTGAAGTTTTGTTAGCAGCCCCACTTGTAACACAGTGTGCCTCCATCTAGCAAGACAAGATGTTGCAATGAGCTGCAACTGCTGCTGTTGCCTCATACTGGTTTCAAGGGAGCAGATTCTTTAATATTTTGCTAGGGTTTGCTAGGGAAGCTGGTTTCCATTTAAAAAGGAGGGGAAAAAATCTCTCTAAGCCAGCTTTTGAATGCTTTCCTTTGTTAACTAGCACATTTAACAGGCCTGAATATGACAACAAATTTCACATCAATAGCATGCCTCAAAGGGAGAAAATGAGCAAGGAAAAGCAGCTTGAACAGTGATAAGTGAGAGGATACCTGACAGCACAATCTGCTTTTGGGTTGGTTTACAGAAAGAAAGAAAATATTAAGAAGATAAATATTAATAGTGTTCCCTCTCTGTCAGGATATCCCTTCCCTTGCAATCATGCAGTTTTATTGGACCTTTGTACTCACAAAGCACTGAGACACAATCTGTTTCCCCACTAGGAAAAGGTGAAGAATGTCAATTTGATTTTGCTAAACCCAATGGTGTTCTTGGAGGGAAAAGTATGCTAGCACTCTGCTAGCACAGCCACTGCAAACACAAAATATCTGCCTGTGGAAGACAGGGGCTTCATCCCCGTGTTGTTGAGTTTGGTGGCAGTTACCTATTTGCAAGCCACTCAAATCCTCTGTTACATTTTTGTATGGCCCTTCCACCAGGCTAATCTTTGCAATTGTAACAAGGAAGAAAAGGCGATGCTCTCTTTAGTATAAACACCAGTGAAAATAATGTAGCCCTTTGCTTTTGTCAAAGCTGAACAACCTCCAGGAAAGCCACCTTTATTAGAATTTATCAATTTATCTATCTCAAGCACCTCCACATTTCTTTAAGTGATCAAGCGATCAGCAACTGCTACTGCTTGAAGCTTACCCTGAGATATCACAGAGTCTTTCATGGAAGAGGGTTCATTTTTCGAGATGGCCATTTCGGGTCCTGGAAAAATAAAAACTGATACTCACAAAATCCTTTGTTAGATTTACAAATGCAGTCAACCTAATTTTTTATTTATTTATTTTTTAAATCTTGCTCTTCCTCCAGATTTAGCTTGTATCCCAACTTTCTGTTTCCTACAGCAACTTTCTTTGGGCTTTAGCTCAATCTGCACACGATTAACCTACAGATACTCTCCATCAGCATTTCTACTTGGAAGCAGCCAAGAAATTAAAGGTAAATTAGTTCACTGTTGAATCACTTGATATAATAGACTCAGTGTGTTAATCCTGATGTATATGGTCTGGGAAAGAGAGTAGAGAGGGCTGTTGTGTTGGTTTGGGAAGTTTTTCTTGTCTGTGCCTAGCACATGTGGTAAGGCAACAGCAATAAATCAGAACAAAGGAAATAAAGCACTAAGGCTTTAGGGAACATGTGTTTTAGAAGAAAAAGTTGGCTCACCACTAAAAACAGTACTGCCTCATAACGGATGTTTAAAATACAGATGTAAAAGAGAAAGACAAAATTATGTAAATAATACAGTGACTTACAGGTCGGTGCAGCTTTCAAACAACACTGCAAACGTATCCATTTTCCTGGGCCCAGACAGACCTCAAGCTCCAAGACAGCGTCCCATCTCATCTTCAAGCTGTGTTGTAACACATCAGGCTGCCAACAAAGCATTAAATAGTTAAAACCAACCCAAGTAACCAACATATCTTTTCCCAGGATCAAGGCTCCCCAGCTGCTATTGACAGCCCCACTGCAAAGCAACATCAGCTTGAGACACGCAGCTGGAGGAGTAATTTGTCTTCCCAGGACTCATGCATCCCTCATGCTGTAACGGCATGCTATGGCAGCAGTTTCACATGGCAACAGAGGGCTTTGCTGAGACTCCTTTCTCAATGCTGGGCAGGCAGAAATGCTCAACTGAAGTGATAATTACTCTGGAGCAGATTTTTCCAACATATTTAGGAGTCCTAGAAGGGAAGAAGGGGGAGGGGAGTTCTCCAAGTCTCCAGGTGGGTCAGACTCAATCCCCAAGCTGGGCACTTTCCTCCTCTCTCCCTACAACTTAGTGTCCTTTCAGAAGTGCCACTCTGCACTTTCAGGCACCTCAATGTGTCTGCAAAGAATCTGAGGTTTCATATCACAACCTCCTGTCTCATAGGATGCCCCTGGGACTTCCAGCCAGGCCAGGGGCCAACACTGGGCAAACCCAGGCTGTGGGCAGGAAAGCAACCCCAGCAGCTGGCGGGACACAATAAACCCCAAGAGAATGAAAAGGCTCCTACTTGTCTGTCCCATGCCTGTTAACTTTCTAGGGTAAATGGCCTTTATTTCATTTAATGCAATATCTTTGCCAGCAGTCCTCTGGCCAAGTAGTATAACATTAAATGTGCCCTACACACACTTTGCTTTCAATGCTGGTCTGTCTTTCCATATTTCCCCTCTTCTCTTGCTTTATCAGTTCCATTCTTACATAGAAACAAAGCCTGTGTGTTGAGAACTGAGCTGAGGCTGTGAAAAAAGTTACAGGAGGAAGACATCATAAAAGTAATCTTGAAAAAATAGTTTGGGTGTGATTGATGAGCTCAGACCTGTGATAAGTCCTTATTTAAAGCAGAAGGTAGAGAAACAGAGCCAGCAGTGGGAATGCTTAGGAGTGAGGAGAGTGGAGCCACATCTCCCTGCACCAGTAGGTGAGTGATGGATGCTGGAGGGAACAAGGGTCTGGCATTATCCCCAAGCAGGGCTTTGATCAGGATGCACAGCACAAAGCACAAAAAGGACAGGGAACAGCACAAAACCTTCAGGAATATTGAAGAGGAAGGGGAGAAAAAATGCAATTCCCTTTGCTACTGGCTAGTGGTGAAACAGTAAAATCCTGGCATAACGATCTTAAAATGCATCCAAAGAGTACCTCTCTACAGTGAAGAGAGGAGAAAAGTCACCTCTGTCAGCACTTCTCCTCATTCACCATCTTGAAAACCTGACCAGGAGCCACCAACAGCACATGGTGGGCTGGCTGCTCAAAGCTGAGAAGTATCAGCTCTACTAGATTGTAAGGTTAAAGCAGGGCATACTAGAAGGGGAGTTTGCAGACACCAGTGCTCTGAAACAGTACCATCCCACCACCTGAAATCACATACCATGTGCTGAACTGGGCAGTGCCTTTCCACCCTACTGGTCCTAGCAGGCTGGTATTTTACCAGACACTGCCATTTATCATCTGAGAAGTGAAAGCCACTCATATCCTGCAGCAACCAGCGCCAGAGCAGACAGGGCCAGACATCTCTCTCTCTCCTGGGAAATGCTCCCATCCTTGCTCCATCAGGTCATGCAAGCACAAGCAACCCAAAGAGTCTCAAAGGGAGCTTCCTCACATAAACGAGCTCTCCAAGCTTCAGTAAATGAAATCTAGAAGAGATTGGTTTGGGTTAGAAGCAGAAGGAACTTGCGCAGGTTAAGTGACTGATGAGCAGGGAAAATGCACAGCAATCTGGAACAGCTGCCCTGCAGTATTCAGTAGGACCCAGCAGTGCCTGTTTCAAATGATAAATCTGAAAATGAGGCCTCCAAAATCTTGATGCTAGTTTAAAAACCCAAGCAAACAAAGAACTCAGTGAATTTCTGGTTCTTTATTCATTGCTTTCCAGTTACTGAGCCTGAAGAATATATTCAGGTCATGTTTTCAATCTTTTCTCCATTATTACAAAAGAAAGAAGCATGTTTTATAATATTACATTGTACTGAAAACTGAGATTTCCTCCTTGTGCTCTCTTTCAGAGTCCACACCTCTGAGGAAAGCTCAGAGCACTGTCAATTTGTGAGAAAACAGAACAGGCAGAATTGGAATTCCAGAGGCGGATGATCACAGGTGAACTCAGTACAGACATTTTATTAAATCGTGCAGACATTTTATAAATCAGCCAAGGCCAAATTATTGCTAAGAGAAGAAATCAATTTTAAACCAAAAAAAAAAAAAAAAAAAAAAAAGCAAAAAAGCTGTAGAAGCCAACCTAGTCAAAGCCTGAAAGAAAAACTCAGAGCTTGGAACACAGGGTTTTGGCTGCTGCCCATGACTGGAGCCCTGCTGTGAGAGCAGCCAAGGACCACCCCACTGCTGGAACACTAACAGGGGACAGCCACAATCCCACCCAACGAGTCCCCAGACACACGGATGTCACTGCAAGATCCCCTCCTTCTGCCATGCCCTGGCCTCGGCGCTCAGGCTCCTGCCCTGCGGCTGACAAACTGGGTCAGGGTAATCTCCAGCAATCCAGCTAAGCCAGCTTTCTGCCTGCTCTGCATTTTCAGCAGCAATGCAGAGCAGATGTAGTGGGGGTCAGGATCTGGCCCCCCGCATGCATAGTTTTAAAGATCACATTCAGCAGAAGCTATTGCGAGGAGGAAAAAATTGCTGAGCCCAAGTTATTCCTCTGACCTTGAATGCTTTAAAACATAATATTTTATTTGGCTGGTTATGAGAAACATGTGGCAGAACCTTCATTTTTCTGGAAGGTTTGTCCTGCAACACAAAAGGAAGAAAAATAATCAAACTTCTATTCCACCTCTCTCTGCTATGCACATCCCTGCACCCACATAAGCTGCTCTCACTTGAATTTTAAGATCTGAATACATTTGATAACTGTATTTGCTCGGCAGAAATGCCAACAAAGTTCCAGTCAAAAACAAACACTGCGGTCTGCAGGTTTGGGGCAAACAGGAACATGCCCCCATTAAAAGTTCATGCTCAGAGTGAAATCGGAAGGGTCAAAATGAACAGTTACTTAAGAAAAAAAAAATGTTCAGGACACACATCAGTAGCACAAAACGTTCAGCCAGCAATTCCTACCATACCTAGAAGCAGCTGAATTTTGTTCAGTGCTCAACAATTATAAAGCTTTACCTGAGTACAAGGCTTTTGCAGAACCATTTGGGGGGAGAAAAGTTTATTTGCAGAGTTCTGGTTTCCAATCTGACCTAAATTCTGCCGCATAGCTGTTCTCTTGTTTGAAAGAGACAGGACTAACTCACTCACCTCCCCAACCTCCTGCACATGCTAAGGATCTCCAGCAGTATTTGCAGGAGAGACATTTATATTCAACAGAAGGAACACAGCAAGAGGGTTTCCTGCTTTCTCCATTCTGACAGCTGCTCTTGCTACATCCAACTCCCTCCTGAGCCTTTCCTATGGATGCATTATAAAAGACTTCTCCTACTATGGCTAGTGGGGCTTCAAGCCCTCAACCTGCGGAGCAAGTGGAAGCCTGCTGCAGCAACACAAGAGGTGCTGAGTCCCTGGTCCTCTCCTGCAGACAGATGATGCTGTGGGCATGCAGGTGTAGAGCCTAGTATGTTTCACTCTACCAGCTCAGCTCCACAGTTGGTTACTTCCAGCTGGAAGACAGCAGCAAGCAGCAGTGGGAGGTAGCCTTCCCGGCCTTTCTATCTGCTGTAGACATATCACAGCAAATGTATTTCTAGACATCTCAGAGCAGGAAAAGGGTCATGATGGTTAGGGCAGTGATAGCTATTGCCCTACTTCCTTCATCAGAGGTAAATCCCACAGCTGTCCTCTAAGGCTTCTCCGCAGCTAAGCAGGACCTGTAGCTCCTTCTCCTCCTGCTGAGCAACCAATTAGCCCCAGGCAATCTCTTTCCTTTTAAGTAACAGGCAAGTCTGCTGTTCAAGGCACCTGTGCTCTGTGTTCAGCAAATCAGCTGCCATCTGGCTGTGCTCGTCAGGCAATCGGTGAGAGCCCCTGTGTGCAGTGCCTGTTGCACAGCCAAGAGCTCGCTGCTGCTCAGCAGCTGGCAGTTGGCACAACAGCCGCGCGTGACTCAGGCTGGCGCAGCACTGGAGATGCGTTCCCCTAGTTTATATCTGCAAGAGATTCATTGCGTTCAGACAGTGTTGTTGGCGTGCCAGCTATGCTGTAAAAATCTGGAGTTAATAAACTCCACTTTCAGGTCAAGGCACTGCTTTCCAGGGTGTAGCTTTGTAGTGCAGGCAGTGCTCACTCCCACCCCAGCAGTTAGTTGCTGCTGATGTGTTTCCCATTGGGAAAACCCCACGACTGCATACAAGAACAACTCTGGGAAAAGCCTCTTGCTCCACCTCATCCTGCCCAACAACCTGGCCTTTCTGCTCCCTTCAGGGTGGAGAGCACAGCCCACAGTCCTGAAGCCCCAGTCTTTACCCCCAACCATGTGAGAAGCCTCCTGGAACCTGCAAACTCGGCTCCCCCCTAAGAAAGGAGAGAATATTTAAAATAAAAAATAAAAGAAAAAGAAGCAGAAGATGTCACAGATATTGCAACCCCTTGAAATCAGAGGAATCTGAATAATGTTAATTCAATTCCAGGTACAGAATAGTGACTGCCCTGGATAGCACCTCACTGCAGCAAAGCAAATCCCTCCTGAGAGAGCTGGTCAGCCCCTTCTCCTTCCACTCCCTCTCAAGGGAACCTGTCCTGGAGCATTTCTGGTTACGTAGGCCTAAACCTGCTTCAGATCTGCCCTTTAACCTCCGTGCCTTACATCCAAAGCTGCAAGATGGAACATTTTTTCTTTTCCTCGCCTTTCCTGCAAGAAAGCATAAGGAAAGGTAAGCTTTGCTCTTTGGACGCTTTTGGCTGGAGATCCAGGAGAGGAAAGAATCCATCTCTTTTCTGCTGCTCTGCCAAGCATTTGTGGCCCTGGGGGGACACTGCACTGTCCCCTTGTAGGCCTGGGAGCAGTTGGGGTTTTCCCTGCAACACTGCCAGGCTGGTTGCAGCCTGGTGCTGCCCTGCTCGGGAGTGAGCTGCATTGAAATGCTGGAGGATAGGCTGCATTGAGTTCACTTATGGAGCCATATAAATAACAGGAGCACCTCTGCCACATGGGCTACATGCTGCTAAACTGCTGCTGCATCTCTCCACAGAATTGGTGACATTTTAGAGAGGGTAAACTAACTCATGCATTACACCGCAGCTTTTCTTCTGCACTCAGCTGTGGATCATCAGCCAGAAAGGGGTGGAAATGTCTTCCACTTCTCAGCATCCCCACAGAACAGGTATGCTTCAGCACTGGCTATATTTCAGTAGAATTATTCACTTACTCTCATCTGTATTTTGAGCTTGTATTAGGTAGACCAACATCAATGGAGCTTCACCAGTTTATATCAGCCTAAGAATGTGGCTCTGTGTTCTCATGGCACGGAGCTTGGTCCTGGAATTGAAGCAGCCTCAGCAGCCTCAGTCTGGGAGCCCTGAGTGGGACAGTGGGGCTAGGAGAGGTGGGCTTGTTTTGTGGCACTCCTGGGAAGAACAGCCACAGTGAACGACAGGCAAGTAGCATAGGAGCATTTCTGAGGAAATGCACAGCCAGCAAAACAAAACATGTTAGGAACAAAATGGGGAACAGGGGCTGGAGGAGAAGTGCCAGAGGCAGAAGAGAGCCTTGACATGGGCATTAAGGAGTGCAGGATCAGACAATGATCCATGAGACAGCCACAGCTAGTGCCACCCGCTTTTCTTCCCATTAACCAAAAGGATTAAAGCACTTGAATTCAGCCACTGAGAATAATATTGGCAAGTACATGACAGCTGTGTGCAACTATAACTAATCCTAAAATACTGGTTCTGTGCCCATCCTTGAGCAGTAAACTTGTGTGGTGCTGAATGCTGGAAGTGAGGGGATATGTGAACACCCCAGCCTGGTCATGCCATACCCATCAGGGTTGACACAGTGTTACAGCCACCCTCAGTCCCCAGCACTTCCTGAACAATTAAAACATCCCTGAAAAAAGCCACCAAACTCTACAACCTCACCGACAGACATCTCAGCCCTTAGGTACATGGATTCAGCTTGGAAACTGATGTGAGAACCAGGCAGAGTACACCATGCTGTACCTTGAATACTGTGGTTGTCTGCAGGAACATTCACTCAGATATATCAGTGATCTTCTAAATGGGGCTGAACATTCATAACTCCACTTTACAAAAGGAACACAAGCCACCAAGATTAAAGGCTGCCACTCTGACAAAGGAAAGAAAACCTGCAAATACAACAGGCATGTTAAACAAGATTTTGGCAGAATTTGGCCACCTCAGTTGAAAACTGCAACTCTTGTTCAGCTGCTGCCTGGCCCCGGAGGTGCCTCAACTTGCCTGCTGCCTCCTGGTTGGGATCTCAGCCTCCGCAGGCTGTTATCCTGCTCCCAAGCATGTCCAGAGTTACTCCAGCCCAACCATCTCGGCTCCATCCCACAGCTGAGTGTGCCAGGTCCTGGCATCACTACCCAGGGCTGCCAGTGCTGTCCTCGTCCTCAGCCCAGGAGCCAGCATGTGTGAAGCACAGCAGCGAGCATTGCCATCCCCTAGAAATGCCTTTTGCTACTGCAGCCTAAGGGAGCACCTGCCCCAAGTCCTGCCCTACGCAACTCCCCAGCAGCCCCTCAAACATCCTGTTGCTGCACAGGGAGCAAGGCACAGATAGCCCTAGGCATGGTGACAGTGAAAGGGAGCACAGCCTACTATGGCAGACACACCAGGCACTCAGCAGCTACAAAGCCTTTCTTGGCTTTGGAGGCTGAAGCATTCAGCAGTACACTGCACAGAGTGATGGAGCCTTCAGTTACCTTCAAGCTATCCAAAGCTGTGATGCAGTACAGCAAGAGTTGTTTTCTTCCTTTGCAGATGCTCTGCTGTATCACAGTGTCTAAAACAATGCCAGATCTTGTCCAGAGCAAACCAGGCTGGGGTCAGCTGCATCATTTACCACTTTTTCATGTATAACCTAGGCTGGAGGCATAGTTTTATTTCAGAAATCCTGCATCAATTTCTCCTCCTGTTGTGGAAGCAGAGTGGTTTCAAACAAGAAATAGAAAAGAGAAAGTGTTTGTGGTAAATAAGTGCTGAGCTCCAATACCCTCCAGTACTGTAACCTCTGCAGCTTTCTCTGGGGTTAGTGCTTATTTACCCACTACCAATATTCTTAGTCTGACAGCTAGCAATGCATTAATCACTGTCATGTGATCTTTGTTTCTGCTTCTCTGCAGGTACCTGTCAGAATCACAGAAGATTGATTATCACACCACCATGTGTGCAGGAACACAGACTTGCACTCCCTTCAGCAGCCACTCCTGTCTGCAAGAAAACACATCCCTTCTCCCACTCCTTCCATCAGCTGGAGCAAAGCTATTCCCCTCGGATTTCCAGCTCCTGTGGTTTCACTCCACTTCAGCTGGCTATCTGCTACCTTTTGCCCAGACATCTGTCCTTCTTCAGCTTCACAAGCAGCACAAAGAGAATCATCAAGACACTTCTCTGCAGCACTGTGCCATTCCAGGCATCCTGCTCCCTTCATTAACCATGTGAGATGGTGTCCCTCTCTTCTTCACAGAAAGTTTTCTATGGCTCAGGTCTAACCCCCTGGCCACATTGTGCATGCAGCATTTAGAAGTACAATCAATAGACCCAAGAGCAGTCTCTGGGAAATATTTAATCTCCACCACAGTAGAAGCAGCTGCAGTCTTCTTACTCCATCATTCAGAAGAGCCCTGGCAGACTGAAATACGTATTCTGGGGTCTGGACCCAGCTGTCCACTGACACTGCCCGAAGATGGAGGGATGCAGTGGTCTGTCTGCATGTAGTGGCTGCAAGCACACATGTAAGCTGGTACAGCAGAAAGAGCCTCCAAAGTAGAGTAGTGAAGCTGTTTCCTACAATGTGAGTACAGCTCTTACCAAAAGGAAGAGAAAATAAGCTCAGTCTAAAGCATCTAAAATGAGAATAAATTAAAAAAATATTTTGTCAAATGCAAGCAGCTGCCATTAAGACAGGCCTCCAGCAATGCCCAGAGCCTTCTCTGCAGAAGCAACCAGGGAAACCTGCCTTGACTGCCCTTTGCTGCTAGCACTGCCTGAGGAAGTAATTCTCTTCTCTCCCTCCCATGAACATTTCTGTGCATGATTCAGCAGCTGTCTACAAAAAGCAATTGGGAAGATGAATGAGTTCATAGAGGGAACAACAGAGAGAGCATCTCTCTGGGTGAGTGGGGACATTTCAGCAGATGCAGCTCCCATTTGAGGTATGGGTAAGTTTGGAGGCGTCCAGCCCCGGGAGAAGCAGGAGGAATTGGGACTCTTATGTAAGGTGGAATTGCCATCTATGCACAGTGGAACTCTCCTACCTCCTGGCTTAGCTCTATACTTGGTTATTTTGTAGAGGGAATGAGATCACAATATACCTTAGGATTTAGGTGTTTTTAGGACCTTCCTGCAGAGGCTAAATGCTACTGTTTTTGCTGTAGCAGGATGTGCAATCACTGGGAAAGCAGCCCTTCTCCTCCCCCTAACCCATGAAACTGCACACATCTGCTTCTACACGGTGTTTGGAGAAAGCATGCAAAACAACCTCCTCATAAATTGTGCTGTAATAGGTCCATTGTTGTCTCTCGGAATCTGGACCCAGTTTGTTTCTTATTTGTAGCTTTTAATAATAAAAAATCTTTCCAAGATAGGGAGATAATTGATTTAGTATCTCCTAACAAATAACTAAACAGGAAAGATTCAAAACATGCATCTCTAAGCTCCTCTCAGCATTTGAGCAATGGGTTTTAGCCACAGGTTGGAATGCATGTATTTCAGAGTGTTCCCTGCTCTCTTTATCTCACCACTGCCATCAAGCACATCCAGATGTTTTTGGTGAGGCAAATTCTGTTGCTCCTAGTGCCAGACTGGGCTTGGCTTTTATCTAGGTTTCTGTGGCAAAGATATGGAAAATGGTAGGCGTTTTTTGGGAGTGCCAGTACCAGCAGCTGTGTGTTACACTCTTACTTCAGTGCACTTTGAGATCCTAGCCCTTATAATGGCTGAAGAAAGTTCAGAGAAGACCAAGTATCCAAAGTATGAAAATGTAGGCACCAAAAGGCCCCAGCAAAAGTTATTACCTATAGACTCTGGTGATAACAAAGGCGGTTTCACCACATCTGAGGATTTGTGTCGTGGATTCTGAATGCTTGGATCACACACAGTGCTCTTGCTTCTTCTTAAAAGGATCCCAGGTGCTGGAGTTGATTCTAGTAAAGGCCTGAGAAGCAGGAATAGACAAAATCAAGCAGTGAGCAAAATCAAACATCTTGTATACGGTGCAAAATTTTTGTTCTAACACTCTTTGAGCAGGCTCATTTGGAGAGGAACATCCAACAGAAAATAGTTACACTACCTCCAACACAACTCAGGTTAAAAGTGTAACCAGATACACGAATATCTCTTTCTATTGAGAGGTTTAGTTTATAACTTCTTCCCAGAGACAAATATAAAGCAGGAAAATAGTGCTTACACCCAATCTAGAATTCCTCAAGTGCTACACTGCTGGGGATTTAAATTTTCAATTTATACCAGGATATTGCCTCCTGTTAAGAAGCTCTAGAGGTTCCTATAATCCCAGCCCTCTGAGGGATCCTCATGTTCACAGGCCTTCAAGCATTCCTCTGGTCAGAGCTTTTCAGCCTGCTGTGCTCCTTATAACACTTGAGAAAGCAGTTGACTCTTCTTAGAGCCTTACTTCTTGAATACTTGAGAATTTTAATTGATTTTCCTGGTTCCAGATACTGGCTGTCCCAGCAAAAGGACAGAGCTACAGTGACACACACTTCTCTCTCCCCTGCAGCACATCTATCTGTGGTCCCAAACAGCTCTGGGAATAAACTGCTTTTCTCAGAGAGACCCACTGGCCAGAGTCAGGCTCTCTACAGAAGGCACAAGGAGACTTATTTAAACTCCAAGTCCTCACCAAGGGAGTTTTGGAGAGCTGGAAATGCTCCTGGGAGTGGTGGTGAGGGAGAGAAGAGGCAGGAAGTCAAAAAAAAGATTTCTCACCCCATCCTATGCTTGGAAAGCAGTCCTTTGGGGTCTGCCTGCTCCCTTCCATCACGTTTCCTTCTCATAGCTGGAAGTCTCACTAGTGCAGCACTGAGAATATTTTAAACGATTCATTAATATTTGTACACATATACCAGATGCTTTCTTTTCTAATAAACAAATAAACAGAAACCACAAACACCCCCTGAGAGATGGAACATTTTTCCTACAGTGAAAGCCACACTGGGTGCTTGTGCAAGAGGGTGGAAGGTTAAAGAAAAAAACAACTCATGCAGCCACCACAGAAGCCAATTTTATGAGCATTTCTCCTCCCCCTCTGGTCACTTCCCCTGCCACACCAGTTATCCAGACTTTGGGGAGGTGTGGAGATGTCACAGCTGCTTATTTCTCCCACAGCACCTATAAGGAGCCTGGACTGGGAGCTTTGAACCACCTTAGCTGAATGCAGCTGATGGGACACTGCATTAACACAGCCTTTGATGAGTGTTCATCAGAGCACTGGCCTGTGCAGGTACTTCTGTCTCAGCACTTGAGGTCACCACAGAGATTGTTTCAATTACATATGGCTGGGACTTCCCAAGCTATGTGGGTGTTCTGGTAATTTTATTCCAAACCCCTTTTCTTCCAAGATTTTACTACAGTCATCTGGAAATTAAGTACTGTAATTTCCCAGATCTGGTAGTCTCACTCTGTCATGCAGTTTAGCATGAAAATTGCAGTATTACACAAGGGATGTCTTAGGTGAACAGTAGGTGTGCAGAAATGAGTCCTAAAAGAGTTGTCAGAGAGCTCAGATCCAAAACTGCAGAGAAGGTGATACCAGTAAGAAGTGATCTCTCCGTGTTCATCCTGCCAGCTTTGCTCTGGTGCATCAGCTCTCATGAGGCAAGGATCAGCTCCGTATGCACACAGCACTGCTGTTGTGGGAACAGTTCATACACGCTGAGCTGATTCTACATCAGCAATCACTATAAAATTTTAACTAAAAAAGTGATGAGTATATTCCTTTTATGTCTTATGCAAAGGCATCTGCTACTGAAAGCAAGAGGGATTCAGGCGAGTGCTCCACAAGATGTGACTAGAATATGTTTCTTCTGAAGTCCTCTCATCAGAAGTAGTAATATATTCCTCTTTTCCCTTAAGACCTGGAAAGCACATTTTAGTGCCTGCCACAGGACTGTCAGGATCAGCATTTCAAGAAAGAATTCAGCTTTATCAACATTCAACAGCATTGTAATTCAGGAATAATTAATGTAATATTAACAGAGTTATTGAGAAAGGTAAGAATGTAAGTGTTCAACATCAAATTCATTTGGCATTTGCTGCAGCAGTGTGATTGGCACAGAGTCGTTTAACATCAGTGCTGGCTTCAGCAGGATGGCTTCAAGGTGTGCCTCCTGCTGCACGAACCGCCCAGGAGTGCTCCCTGTGCTCCTCAAGGGACATCTTGGGAAGTTGTGCCATGTGTCTGTGGCAGAACAAAAGAGAAAGAAGTACTTTTGTAAAGCCTGCCAACACTTTGCCAAGGTACAAAACCTATCTATATTTCTACTTACGAACTATCTTAGACAGATCATGCACATGATATATTTAAGAATTACAATGAGAGTGATGAGTACATAGGTCTGTGGTCTCATAGGTCTCATACTTATGTAAAGGTAGATAAAATTGTATTCATATATCTATCCTGTAGAACTGAGGAATATGTTATGACTTTTATAGAAACTGGTTCTTGACTTAGAGTGGAAACCTCGGGCAGCATAATGTGTACTGCTTACACAAAATTATATACACAAGTAGGCTGCTATTTAAGTATACCTTTATATATATATACATAGTTGTAAAAATACACATATAAATTCAGTTAAAGGCTTTGCCTTGCAATAGAGGAAGAGAGATAAGCTGCTTTTCTTCATATCTGGAAAGGATTTTCTGCCTTTCAAGATAACTAGGTTGAGCAGTTTTGGGGCAAGATTCCTTCATTTCTGTTCACTCTGTTCCCAGTACAGCCAAAAGGAAAAGGAGACTGATTGAGAGCTTGCAGTGAGTAGAGTTGCAGTAAATGTCTAGTGAGATTTTCAGACATGCCAAGGCTACTACCTAACACTGACATTAGCAGGAGCAAGGTGCCCAGGCATGCTGAAAAATCCCTGCAGCTACTTAAGACTCACTTGCAACAGCATGGTGTATGTGACAGACTGCCTGTATCCAGGACATCCACTGAACTTCAGTGGAACTGGGACATCTGGATCCAGCAAATTCCTCTGCCAGTGAGCACTGGCAGTGCTGCAGGACTGGAGCACTCTCCCCTCATTGCATCTGTGCTGCAGCCTGGTTCCTCGAACCCAGCTCACTTTTTACCTCGCTGCCACGATTGCTCCAAAACCTGGGTACAAAAAACAGAGAACAACAGACATGTCCACAGAAGTAAAAACCTTTGCTCAGCATGATAAGCCCCAGAGGCCGGATTCTTCACCATCAATCAGAGGTGACATAAGCAGCATGCAGGGGAATGGGTGAAGGATCAAGACTGACTCAGGAGAGATGATTCTCATGCTATCCTGACAGCCTGAAGCAATTCTGAGGCCACGTTTCACAGCCTTCTTGTGTTATACGACGCTTTAACAGTGTCAGACCTGTCATGAACGAGAACCACATCTGTCTTTAAATTAGATTTTAAAAAAGAACTTTCCCTCCAAAGCTTTTTTCTGGGGCAACTGTGAAGAAGCCTCGCTCCGAAGGGAATGATTCTCTCACTGCAGAGATGGGAGCAGCCAAGGCAGCCTTCTGCAGCCCCATATGACACGCTCCTGCTGAATCCAAGTCCCACCACTTCTTACTGAGTGCCATATTTGTTTGACTATGTAAAGACCAAGTACTATAGAAAAATGTAAATATTTTTATGGCCTTGCTGGCTTAAAAGCCTGCGAGGATGGCTGGCTAAGTGGAAAGGAATGCTGTGCACACACAGCGGAACAAATTTAATGAAAGACAGAACCCAGATATATTCTTTAACTCAGAGATGGAGTGCTTTGCATTGTTAAACAACGGTTGTTTAGTACACGACAAAGAGAGCATTCAAGTCTAGATAACACAATTAATAATGAACTCTCCAACGCAAAGTACTGTCACCATCAGCATAGCCTCACTCTCTTCATGCACAGAACACAGGCTGTTTTACAGAGCTATTCACTCCTCTCATCTTGCATTTGAGAAACCAGCCAAGTGCCCTGTTCCTTCCGTACTGCTGGAGGGTTACGGTAGAGATGGAGACAGGCTCCTCTTCAGGATGCCCAGGAGGAAGACAAAAGGCAAGGTGCACAAGATGGAAAGCAGGAAGATCTGCCATCCATTAGAAGTGTTTTCACCACTAGGAGTGCAGGACGGTAGCAGGCTTCCTGTTCTTGGAGATACGCAAACTTCAATCAGACGTGACTCTGAGCAGCTCATTGCAGTTGGATCCGTGCTCAGCAGGGACTGGATGAGGTAGATGCAAAGACTCTTACCAGCCTCTAGGCACTCCTTCTCTCCCCTTAAGGGCAGGATTGGTTATCTCAAAAGTATACTTTTGTTCATTTCTTTTCTTGCCTGCTCTCTGCAGTACATCCACACTGACTGGCTGCTGAAGATACCACATCTGCCGTACCAGCTGACTGAACTTCCAACCAAGCGGCCCTTATAAAACCTTGGGTGGAATAGGGTAAAGGTTATTTTAAAGACTGGCTTTGGCTTCTAGATTTCCAAATCCAAAAGTCAAAATAGACCAAAATAAGAGGCCAAGGCACAGGAGCTGTAAAGGATGGGTTGCAGAATGTGAAGCTCTTCTGCAGCACACAACAACTCATGGCAGCAGCAAGAGCACAGGCAGCCAACATTACCAAATACAAAGGCAGCCTAGATCTCCCTTGCCCTGCTCTGTCTTTCAACACAGAGTTCAAACCAGGTCTGAAACTCATCACGTTTCACTTACTTCATACCGCCTTGTCATTTCAGATGTTACTATCCCAGCTAGGCAGATCGTGGGATCTCCCATGGCTGTTCACTGGGGTAGAGCTCTGAGCGAGGCCAAGAAAACTATGCAAGGTGTAAAAACTTTTGGAAGAGAGCCTGGCTGCAACACCAGGGAAGAGTTAGGAGAGGTGAGCCCTGCGCAATGCTTGGCAGCATCCTAACACAATTTTTTTCAAATACATTTATTTAATTGTATCTTTTCACATCATCAGTGATTATGAAGTTCAAGTTTAACCTGGGGGTAAAAAAGAAAGACTCATGAGCATGGATAAAAGCCTGTCTAAAATATCAGAGTCATTGTTAGAGCTAAAATTATTTCAAGTTGTTTCTTCAAATATAAATGCTGTAATTATGTTAAACATAATGTTACTGCTTCCCATTTAACAAGTCCCTGGCCTTGTCTGCACACCTGAAAAAAACAAGTAGAAAAGGTTTAGCTGGACCAGGCCAAAAGCACAACCTCCTTAAGTCCCGTGTCTGCTTAACTGAGGATGCTTTCCCCTTGATTCTGGGGCTCATGCCAATTTGTTGCTTCCTGCTCAAATGCCCTATCCTTCAAACCCATCTTATCCCCAAGACTCCCTGCTGCCTGGACCCTTCTCTGCCCTGAGGCACCAGGCAAAGCTGACCCTTCTCCCACTGTCACTACCTGCAGCCTCTATCCGGTGACCAGGGATTTGAATTTGTCTGGCTCCGGGATGCTTTGGGGGCATCTTTGCTTGGACCTGGGAGCCAAACGCAGATGCAAGGAGCCAGCAAGCTGTGAAGGGGTCTGTGGTCTTGTAACTGCGTGACTGCAGAGTGTTTCCATTGAGTTTTACACGGCCCCATTCCCCTTCTCCCGCTATTTCTGGCTGCAGTTACAGCCATGTGCGAACAATGCACCCTGTGTGCATGTTTCCCATTTGGCACACAGGCTTGTAAAACATTTTTAGTATGTGATTTACAGTGGTTCTGGCTTGGACTGAAACTGTTACCCTCAAAAACTGAGCAACCATAGACTGTCAGAATGCAGGGACAAGGTAGAAGCAGGCAGGCACCCAGCAGTACAGCTTACAGGCAGCTATAAGGCAAGGCACCGCTCCTCCCTTGGCCTCAGAAGAGCATGTCCATTTCCACAAGAGACATCCTCTGGAGATAAGCAGTGTTGGTGGCTTAGACAAAGTCAAAACCAGACACAAACAAAAGCCATTACAGTGTTTGAGCCAGTTCTGTTTGTGACCTTTTCTTCCCCAGAAAACTGCAGAAGTACTACTGGAAATATAGGAGGAATGGAGAACACAGTGGCATTTTGCTCAAACTGGATAGTAGGTGGGAAAAGAAGTCATCACTTTTTAACAGGAATGTATTTGTAAAGGGAATTTTCATGAAAATCAACATATAGTTTAGAGGAATCAGGCAGCCTAGTTTGTCATCCCTTGAGGTCCTTAAATGATCTTTCAAAATGCTCAAGTAACATTAGATTCAGTATCCTATCCAAATTCCAATTTCTTTTTAGACTTTAATAAAGTTTCAATTGGAAAAGATAATATAAACTTCCTGTCCTACAAAACTGCTACCACATGCCACTAAAGCAGCAGGGGAATGAGGCAGCACTGTCCTGAATATCTGATCAGCAGATGGAGAGTTCAACTCTCCCTCATGGTGAAGTTCATTACGAAATGGGATACGGCTATGATTTGATTTTATACCCTTTTATTATAAGACAATGTTATCTCCAAATGCTGGCAAAATACATCTTCGATGATTCTTTACAGAGTTGTTGCTACAGCGTAAAGTGTCGATAAATGTTTCGAAGCCCACTGGAAAGCCTAGCTGGGATGATTTCTTCACAGGTTGAAGAACACAAGACAAGTGCAGAAATCTGAAAAGCTCCCCAGACATCACTTTATGAAGAGGGGGGCAGTTCATAAAATAATCATGACTGGATAGGTTTTATTTCCTTTTGAAGCATCTTGTCTGTGCTGGCATAAACTCAAAGACATTGAAAGATACTGAGTCCACAGAATCATAGAATCATTAAGCTTGGAAAATATCACTAAGATCATCCAGTCCAACTCGCTTTGTGTGAGGTCTCAAACCTCCACTTGGGTTGTTCCTCATTAGAAGAGCTCAGTGATTCTGATCCTGCTGTGCAAGGAGCCTACATCTCTCCCCACTGTCCAGAAACACCACATTCCTCATCTGCACCTATCTGCAGTGCCTGAGCTTACGGAAGGCTCCTTCATGCACTTAAGCAACATCCAGCCGTTATCTGAACCCCTTCAGCTTCAAGGCCAGAAAGGATTCAAAGTGGAAACTGTGGGGCTGCCTGGTTGTTTAGAGCTGTATCAGGCAGGACACTCTCAGCACTGCAAATGTGCTTTGGCACACTAACAGTGTATGGAGCTGCTAGAAACAGCTTGGAGGTCCCATTTTGAATTTTTTTGCATTAAAGTTTTCCTTCAGTTCAGCCAAGTTATCTGCCTCTTGTGTCAATTTGCTGAAGCAGCTTTTTTTTTTTACCAGTTTCTGGAAACCACAAAGGGTGAGGCAGCCCGCAGCTTTTTAAAGAATGACATTTGTTTTTAGCAGTATGATTGTCAACATTGCCACTGCACTGCACATGCAAAAAGCAGGTTTCTGAGGACACCAGCGCTCAGAAATAAAACACGATAGTTCAGCTGGCATACGTAGGTTACTCCAAAAGTAATGCCTCCAATTTATTTCCATGGAAACTACAGCAGATAAAAAGAACACAGTAACACTATTTGATAGAGCAAATTCTCAGCTACAAAGCACTATTTTTCAATGCAGTCATCACCATTAGCAATGCATTTGCACCAGCGATGAACAGGAGCCTGCTTGCCATGCTTATACAAATCTGCACGGCCATGTGGAATATGTCTTGTCTTTCATGTCACTGTCACCACTGCTGAAATGCACCACCCTCTCCTCACTGTGCTCACATTCACTATTTGGTCTCCATAAATGTTTAGCCAGCACTGACAAACGCCAGTGGGTGCCGTTGTTTGCACATGATGGAATTAAATGACACCTCTTTGCTTCAGACACATTTCCGTGTCAGGTGCCACTCTGTTAGACTGCCCCTCTCCTGCCATCTGTCCCACAGCAACAACACGGATAATGGGATTGGTGGGAAGGTTCAGTCAGTACTGCCGTACCATCAACATCCACCTCTGACGTCCTGGGCCAACAAAATAGAATAGGAAGCATTACTTTTGGAGCATCTCTCCTATTTTCTAGTTATGCTTGAAAAAGACCATGCAAAAGTTCTTCATTATTCCCCTCCTGATGTTCCTTTCTCTAAATCCAAGTGCCAACATGAGTTTAAAACCTCCACAAAACATGTTTCCATTTGTTCTGTTGCTCTCT